CCACCCTGCTCCTGGCACCCAGTTTCAGCCCCGCCCCTGCCCCAGGCCTCCCATTTGCTGTTTACTCCCAGGAGCAGGTGCACCTGGATCATCTCAGAGAGGGAGAGATATGAGACCTGGAGACTGGGGGGCACCATGACCCCATTCCCCACAGCTGGCCCAAGGCCAGGCCAGGGGTCTTGGGGCTTCCCAGCAAGGCGAGAGATTTGGGGGCAAGCAAAAGGCTCCAAGTGGGCCCAGCTCACCCTACCCCCAGGCTCTATCCCTCCCTGGAGGCCCAGGTTTCAGCTCCCCCTGCCCAGCTGCCCAGTCCTCAGCTATCTGCCTCTGATCCCCTTCCTGGGAGTGGTCATCCTTGGCTTCAGTCACTTCTCTCTCCAGCAGCCCTGGCCCTACCCTTAGCCCTAGGCTGCTGGGCAGAGCTCAACCAGCGGGGGGTGACTGGGGGGCGCCCTGAGGGGGGGTGACCCAAGCTGCTTCTTACATGAGGAGGCGTGGAGGGCTGGCTGGCCCCACTAACCCTGTGCAAGAGAGGCCAGGTGGGCAAGGGGCTGGGCTGGGAGTGAGGTTAGGGGAGAGAGCACTGGGAAGGTGAGAAGGTGTGGTCAGGACACTGGATCATGAGCCTGGAAACTCAGCTTCGAGTCCTAGTTCTGCCACCCTTCCCTCTGTGACCTTGGGCATGTCCGTTGCTCTCCTGGTGCCTCAGTATCCCCATCTGGGCAAGACAGGGGTTCAGATGGGTGAGCCAAGCTTTCTTCTAACCCTGGTGCTCTGGTCACCCAGGTGGGTTCCTCCACCCCACTTAAGCTCCCACATCTCTCTAAAGGAGGAAAGAGGCTCAGGTGGCTATCTCCTGGACCAAGGCAAGAGCTGGCCTTTCCTGAGTGGAGGCCGCCCAAGATAGCCTGGGAGCTCTCCTCTAGGTCCCCGAGGGGCTGCCCCTCCCCAGGCCCTGCTCCAGGCCACAGAGCAGACAACAAAGCAGGCAGGTGGAAAATTCCCCCTGGCGTTCTGCCCAGGAGCCCTGGGTGCAGCCGTGCCAGCCTAGGCGGACAGGAGCCCGGAGTCCAGGGTACTGGCAGCCACAGGGAGCTGGTGGGGGCCTGGCAAGGTCCCCACTCAATTGTCTCCCACAGTCCAGACACAAAAATTGCGTTCTGCTGAGGGGGGAGGAGCGATGGGGAAACGCATGGTCATCTGTTGGAAGCTTGGAGCTTCTCAGAAGTTGCAGCCCTGAGTCTATGGGATTGTGCCAGGTCCTCCCAGTCCTGAGCCCAGTGGCCCCTGGGACACTAATGGGGGGGCCGGGGCTGCCACCGTTTCAGCAACCCCACAGAAAAGTGAGCTTTGTCAAGTGCTGTAGGGGGCAGATGGCTCTGGGTCTGCTCCTGTGGTCTCTACCTTGTGACCCTGAGCAGAGTGTGTCCCTGTCACAGCCTCGCTTTGCCCATCTCGGACTCGGGACAGGTGTCTGGGCTTGAAGCCTCACCCACGAAGGGCCCAGGAAAGGCCAACGGCTCTGTGTGCACCTGGGCCTTGAGACCGGGAGGCAGCACCATCCTGGGGCCCAGTGTGTGTGGGATCCCTGTGTGTGAAAGCCCAAGACAGAGGGTGCCTGGCCCCTGATCGCCAAGTTACCATGGCGACAGTTCCCTGGCCAGGTTCCCGGAGGCCTTTCCCAGAGTCTGGACTTGGTTTCTAGGATGTCCACCCACAAACATTTTCCTGTTGTCAGTCAGTTCAGGTGGGTCCCTTGGAACCAAGGAAAGAAAGGCCTCCGTGACTTTGCGGGTCCCAGCCAGCCGCCAAGTGAACATCAGACCACTCCTGCGGCAGGTTCACTGGACATGGGAGGGCTGAGGTGTCAGGGAGCACTGAGGTCAAGGCGAACCCACACATTGCTGGGAAAGCTGCCCAAAGGGCACGTCCCACTGACCCAGAGTCAGCAGCCTACAAGCGTCATTGCCCGTCCAGGGAACATTGTCCGTCTGGGCCGGGAGGAGAAGGCCCGGGAGATAAGGCAGGGCATGAACCTGACTCCCGGCATCCCATCAGCTTGCTCTGCTTCAGGAACGAAACCGCCCTGACTCACTGACAGCAAACCGGGCTTGGGCCTGATCCCTTTTCCAGCCAGACACACCTGTAGCCATCCGCTGGGCCACGCCCCTGCCCCAGCCATCCTAGAAAGAAACATGTCTCTCCCGCGGCCTCATGTGCCCACCTCCGTAACTCTTGCCTTGACTGGAACCCGCCTGCCCCAGCTCAGCCCTGCTGGGGACAAACACAGTGACTGTGCAAACCCTGCGTACAGTCAGGAACAGGGCGGCCGTGGGACCCTCACAGTGTGGACTCACACAGAGCAGCTTCCCAGGGGCCCAGACTTGCCCCACAGCGAGGAGAAATCCCCCTCTTCACCCACAAGGCCAGTCTGCCGTGACCTCAGGCAGCCAGCGTGGTGACCCAGCAGTTCTAGGGGACTGGGCTGAGGGCGGGGCCTCGGTGACTATCTTTAGCCTCTTTTGCATTTGGGAAATTTCCCTTCCCGGCTTCCTACCTGGAGGCGTGGCCCTGTGACGCACTCCTGCCCCTTCCCCGCCCAGTCTGGGAGATGATAAACGGTTCGCCCCAGAGAGTGAGAGGAAACGGTGGGGTCAGGGCCGCATGGTCTGAGGTCCCAGGTGTCCGGTTAGGGCCACAATGCCCGATTCTGGGGATCCCAGGGGCTGTGCTTCAAGACACAAGGACCCTCAGCCATCTGAGCGATGCGCCCAGTGGTCCTGGGGCGAGGCAGGTGTGCTGGAGGAGGGAAGAGAGGACCGACCTTCATTCACGCCCACTTTGAGTCAGGAATGCCTCCTACCTGGCTAATTCCGTGCTCAGAACAGCCCTCCGAGGTGTGTATAATTGTCCTCACTAGGTCAAGAGCACTGGGGTCAGACAGGTCACCTGACCCTCCCAAGGCCATGCAGCCTGGAGGTGAGGGATGTGTGTGAATCCGATTTTGTGCTGTGTCCGGGAAGGCCCACCAGTTCCAGAGGCTGGAGGACGGTGCTGCTCTTGGCCTCAGAGGCCTGACCAGTAGGAGCTCGGCCCCGGGAAGGGTTAACCCTCCTCCCTGCCCCCCCTGCATTCTTTTGTGCTGAGGCTGGCAGCCTGGGTCAGGGCATCAGGGCAGGAAAGCAGAAAGGACGCTGCCAGGGCACCTGGCAATGAATAATCTACTTGTCCTGGCCAGGCTCCCCGAGGTGCGTGGTGTCAGCCACTAAGGGTGGGAGGCTCGGGGCAGGACCCTGGCTCTACCCCACCTCCCAGATAGTCACCACCTGATCCCCCTGCAGTTCTAGTCCAGGGCTCACTGTCCCCGCCAGCCCCAGGGCTTCCAAACCAGGTCCCCACCACAGAGGGTCCTCCAGTTGCCCGAGGGGAACATCTCACTAGAGTTTTCAGTCGGGAGGAGGCGAGGGTGTCAAGGACTCGGGTGCCCTGGCACAGGGGACCCGCCGGGATCCAGTGTCCTAACTCCCCCAGTCTGGTGCCAGCTGCAGGCCAGGGGGACATCCCTGTCCAGGCCTAGCACCCTAACAGAAGACAGGGTTGCCCAGAATTTGCCCCCCGGTCTGTCTGGCAGCTGCCTGCCTCTCTGTAAGTCTGTAAATGAATGTAATGATGGTGCCGGCCTAGGAGGTGGCTGTGAGGATGGGATGAGTCACCACAGCCAACAGCTCACACTCCAGTNTTGCCCAGAATTTGCCCCCCGGTCTGTCTGGCAGCTGCCTGCCTCTCTGTGCTTCCATCTCCAAGTCTGTAAATGAATGTAATGATGGTGCCGGCCTAGGAGGTGGCTGTGAGGATGGGACGAGTCACCACAGCCAACAGCTCACACTCCAGTGTGCTCACGGTGAGCCGGGTAGTGTTGCAGCGGCTTCCGTAGGTGAGCTCGGTTGTCCTCAGGATCAGCCTGCCATCCCCGTGGGACAGAAGAGAAACACAGGACAGAGGGGTGAAGCAAGTGGAGAAGTCTCACACACACACAGCGAGAAAGGCGCAGAGCCACTGAGGTCTCATTCCCAGCTGGTGGGAGCCCGCACACGGAATCGCCCGACACAAGGTCCGGTCTCACGGTCCTGGGTGGCACCCACATCTGTCCAGGGCCTCCTGCGTCCAGTGTCAGAGGACAGCCCCAGACTCTGTACCACCTCAGTACGTTTTCTGTTACCAGTGCTGGGGAAATTCTGAGGGATGGGAATGGGGAATTCCTGGGACCTTGCAGACACTCCCAAGAGCAGGAGCCTGGCCTCCCGCGCATCTCTCCAAATTAGGGACCTGCCTGAGCCTGGTCCAGAGAGGGGGAGGGATTTTCCTAGAAGCAGAAGCTGAGATAGGAGCGGAGCCTTGGGGGACCCACGGGGAGCGCCCTCAGGAGTGAGTGATGTGGGGGCCCATCCCCCTCACACTCGGTGTCCTGGGTGCAGAGGTCTGGGGGCTGGGCCAGCTAGTGGGAGAGTTAGGATGGTGGACTGAAGCTCCGTAACTCGTCACTGAACATCTGCTTCCACCTAGTGGCCTCTGATATTCCAGCTGTCCCCACAGAACCGAGGAAGCCTAGGTCCAGCAGAGCAGCCCCCTCTCAGGGGTCAGAGTTCACCTCTCACGGGTCAGAGCTCACCGAGGCTTCGGTGGCTGGAGCAGATGGGCTCTGAGGGCTGGAGCAGATGGCCTCTGAGGGCCCACGGGTCTGACATGCTCTTGCCCTGTGGGGGGTGAGAAGCAGTGTCCTGCAGGGCAGCAAAGAGCGCCCTGTGTCCAGCAGAGGGCCCTGCCCAGCCCGTGGCTGGCAGGGTGGGAGGGAGCGGCTCAGGGCCACTGGAGAGGCTGGTGATGCCAGACGCCTGCCTGGGGGCGGACCAAGCGGCCAGCTGCCTCTCTCAAGTCCTTGGGCACTGGGTCCCCTGCCCTCACCTGCTCTCCGCAGGGCAGCCGCCTCCTGCTCGTTGGCCATGCGGTGGCTGTGGCCGCTGGCCATCTCTCTGGCCATGGTGTCGGCCACGGGGCTGAGCATTGTCTCTGGGGCCGCCCCCCTGCACCGGGGCAGGCTCCCAGCAGAGGCCCCGGAACAGATCCGCCGGCCCAAGAGGGGCGCCGAGGATGAGGAGCCCAGGGGGGTGCAGCAATATGTGCCCGAGGAGTGGGCCGATTTCCCCCGGCCCTTCCGCCCTGCTGGCCTGCAGCCCACCGAGCCCCTGGTGGCCACCAGCCCCCACCCAGACGACGCCGGTGGGGACGCCCCAGGCCGCGGGCCGGAGCCGCGGGGCAATCTGACAGGGGTGCCTGGCCAGAGGTTGCGGATGCAGAACCCACTGTACCCGGTGACCGAAAGCTCCTACGGCGCCTACGCGGTCATGCTGCTGGCCTTGGTGGTGTTCGCCGTGGGCATCGTGGGCAACCTGGCTGTCATGTGCGTCGTCTGGCACAGCTACTACCTGAAGAGCGCCTGGAACTCCATCCTGGCCAGCCTGGCCCTCTGGGACTTCCTGGTCCTGTTCTTCTGCCTCCCCATCGTCATCTTCAACGAGGTCACCAAGCAGAGGCTGCTGGGGGATGTCTCCTGCCGGGCCGTGCCCTTCCTGGAGGTGAGCAGGGTGCGGCCTCGGGGCTCAGTCCACCATCCGGCCGCTGAAAGTGGGGGGTGTGGGCACGCGACCCTGGGGCCTGGAGCTCGGTCTTGCTGTTTCTCCTGCAAACCGGGCAAGGAGACAAATAGGGAATTGGCTCCGGGGGACTCTCGGGTGAAGTGGAGCTTCAGCCCGGTGTCCACCGTGGGAGCCACTCAAGGCGGGCTGTGTCCCTTCTCTGTATTTTGTGCCATCTGCTGCTGTCTTTCCACCTCGGACACCGCTCTGTCCTTTGGGTGTCTTTCTCTCCCTTGTGCCCCCTGCCGTTGCCCCTTCTTTATCCCAATAGCCTGCCTCCCATCGTGGTGTCTGAAGGGAGACCCCTCAATGTCCTACAGACCCCCCAGATCAACCCCTGTCCGCCCCCCATGAATGCAGGCACCAGGAGGAAGGAGCCGTCCTCACCAGCACCCTCCTCAACCCTCTCAGAAAGAAAAGATCTGGGCCGGGGGGCTGCAGCCGGGGAGGGGGCTCTGTCACTGACACTCTGGTTATCGCTGGGCCAGTCACACCCACCTCCAGTTTCCTCATCTCCCACTGGTCTGCAGCCCTAAAGTGTCCCCTATCTCAGCCCCGGGAAGTTCCACATTCAGACAAGCACACGGTGTTGATGGACGTGTGGGTCACGGAGAGACAGATTAGTCAGAAATAAACCAACACGTGTTTCTGCCAGACACAGCCAGGCCCCGGGTCGGTGGAGAAACAGAAAAACGCAAGCAGCGGGTTAAGGTTTGGTTTTGGGGCATCGTCAGGGGGCCTGGAGTGACAGGCCGCCCGCGGAGGCTGAGAGTGATGCTGTGTGACGTGCCGCCTGGGTGAAGAACTGGGGTCAGGCGACAGATAACAGGTGCTATCCCCAGCTCTGTCCAAGTCGCTGCCCATCAGCGACGGCTTCATATTTGGAGCGATTTTCTGAGGCTCAGCATCTGGCCCAGCCCTTTCCTTCCTTCCCTCCCAGCTCAGGGAGACCCCCGGGGGTGGCCCCGAGGACTCAAAGGAGACCCTAGAATGGGGGCCTTGGAATCACAGTCATGTCGATGCTCAGCGCCCCGGAGAGTGATGAGAGGTTAGGCAGGACTTCGGAGCCAAGCAGACAGGATGAGAGACCAGGCCCCGGCCCTCACAAGCTGAGTGACGTATAAATTACTTATCCTGGCCCAAGCCTCAATGTGCTCATCTGTAAATTGGGATGGTGATGATTGTAATAACTATCTGAATTAATTCTTGAAGGATTAAGTGGTGCTTAGCGTAAAGTGCTTAGAATGAAAAGAATTCAATAGATGGTGGTTTTTCCTGGGAGTGGTCAGGTGGGGAGAGCACACACATGGACCCGTGTCTGTACGTGGCCGGCTGGTCCATGAAGGCCTGGCCCTGCCTGACCATGGGTCTCAGCACACCTGGTATGTAGGCTCTGGGTGAAAATCCAGGGGCAAAATTCAAGGCCGCTGAACACTTTTATGGGAGGGGGGGAAATCTCAGGAATTACACTTGAGATATCTNAAAATTCAAGGCCGCTGAACACTTTTATGGGAGGGGGGGAAATCTCAGGAATTACACTTGCGATATGAGATGCAGGGAGAAGGGGAGAGAGCTGATGATTTTGCCAAAGCCCGAGGCCGCCCCTGCAGGGGATTGGGGACATCTCACAAAGAACGTCCAGTGGCAGAGCTAACAATCTGGGGACCGTATCCCCCAGCCAGAGAGGGTGGAGTGTGGACAGAGGGGGATCCAAGCACAGTCCCTGTGTGGTCCGCATCCTCTGGCAGCTCCGGAGGCCCTTCTCTCTTTATTGTCTCTGGCACTTTCTCCTTGGCTGCCCTGGCATCTTCCTCTTGGCTCATGAGGCGATTTTCCTGTGGGCTCAGTGAGCAGCCCATGGGGAGGGTGGGCGAGTTCGTGACCTCACGCCGCTAAGCCGGGGCTTCTCCGGACAGGGCGGGAGTGAGCATGTGAGTGTGTGTTTGTGAGCGTCTGTGTGAGCCATGTTCTCGGAGACGACGCATTTGAGCGTAACGGGGGCAGGGATGGGAGGCCCTGCAAAGAACAGAACTTCTGAGCCTCGGTGTGGACTCTCCCTTGGAGGTGCTTTCCAAGTCTCAGGAGCACGAGCGTCTGAGGGGCCCACTCTCACCCCCCAGCCTCAGAGGCCAGGACCCCTGCGCGTGGACCTCAGCGCTGACCCCACAGGTCGCTCATCCTGCCCGAGCACAGTTTCCTCTTCTGAAGGTGGCTGATCGTGAGGATCTAATGACTGTTACCACCCCCCCTGACACTCACTGCTCAGCCCTGCTGGCTAAGCCCCCGGTCTGACCGTGGCTTCCCTCTTCCTCCCCATCTGCCCAGGTCTCCTCTCTGGGGGTCACCACCTTCAGCCTCTGCGCCCTGGGCATCGACCGCTTCCACGTGGCCACCAGCACGCTGCCCAAGGTGCGGCCCATCGAGCGGTGCCAGTCCATCCTGGCCAAGCTGGCCGTCATCTGGGTGGGCTCCATGACGCTGGCTGTGCCCGAGCTCCTGCTGTGGCAGCTGGTGCAGGAGCCCTCCCCCACTGCGGGCACCGTGGACTCGTGCGTCATGAAGCCCTCGGCCAGCCTGCCCGAGTCCCTCTACTCGCTGGTGATGACCTATCAGAACGCCCGCATGTGGTGGTACTTCGGCTGCTACTTCTGCCTGCCGGTCCTCTTCACGGTCACCTGCCAGCTGGTGACGTGGCGCGTGCGGGGCCCGCCGGGGAGGAAGCCGGAGTGCCGGGCGGGCAAGCATGAGCAGTGCGAGAGCCAGCTTAACAGCACCGTGATGGGCCTGACTGTGGTCTATGCCCTGTGCACACTGCCCGAGAACGTCTGCAACATCGTGCTTGCCTACCTGTCCTCTGAGCTCACCCGCCAGACCCTGGGCCTGCTGGGCCTTGTCACCCAATTCTCCACCTTCTTCAAGGGGGCTGTCACCCCCGTGCTCCTGCTGTGCGTCTCCCAGCCCCTGGGCCGGGCCTTTCTCGACTGTTGCTGCTGCTGCTGTGAGGAGTGTGGTGGGACGGAGGCCGCGGCCGCCCCCGGCTCGGACAGCAAGCTCAAGACGGAGATGTCGTCCTCTATCTACTTCCACAAGCCCAGGGAGTCGCCCCCGCTCCTGCCCCTGGGCACGCCTTGCTGAGGCTGGGCCCCAGGGAGGCCCGGGAGAGGGGCGAGTGGGCAGCCCGTCTGCGGTGTCTGTCCCCACGGGTCTGGCTTTTCTGCCCGTCTTGCTGTCCAGAGGTGGACTGGGTTCCTCGGGTTGAGGCTCGGCGTGTCTGAGCCCCCTCCCCAAGCAGGGCCTTCCCTGTCTGTCACTCTGAGGGGCCTCCCTGTCCTTGGGTGGACAGTGATGCTTGTAGGTCCTTAGAACAGCCTGGAAACTCTCAGTCCTACCAGCTGGGAGCCAGAAGTTCAGCTGGTTCCAGCCCCCTCCCCCCATCATGAAGCCTGAAACACTCCAGGTGCACTGTCTCTAAGCATCCTCTCCCCCCGTGCCCGTCCTGGAATAGGGGGCTCTTTGGGGAGCAGCCCAACTTGGCTCATCTCTGGACCCGATCCACCCCAGCCCGGACCCTTCCTCCTGGCACCGTCTCTTCTTCCAAAAGCTTCCCTTCCCTTCCTCCTCTGATGTGCCCTGGGTCACCCTGTCCCCACTCCCCTCGTTAGGTGCTCCCCCCTAGAAGGCCTTTCGTGAAAAACAATAAACTAGGTAGAACTGCCCCTGTGCCCACTGGACTTCCTTGTGCCACATCTTGGCGGCACTCAGGCACACCTGGGCCTTCCCCAGGTGAACAGTGCCCAGTGGGGGACTCCTGGACGCCTTTGGCCCTCCCTGCCTAGACCTGTGGCCCGATGGCTTTAGAGGGGCAGAGTGGATGGACGGCCCTAAGTCCAGCTGTCCCTGGAAGTCAGAGGGCTGCCAGCTTCTGTCCTCTGGAGCCCCCGCCTCTGCTCCCTCTCTCCACAAAGCCCCCATTCGAGGGACACCAGCAGCCACCCCTCCGTGAGCCCCTCTGAGAGCCCCTCTTGTTACTTAGGACGACGGCATTGCAGCTGCCTGCCCCCTGCCTCCCCTTCCCACGGAGGGGGCTGCACCCCAGGCCCCTGCAGCTCTTTCTGCTGGTCCTGCCCTGGGAATCCCTCCTCCTCTGGAGGCCTTAGCCCTGTTTGGGCCCAGAGAACTGGCACAAGAGACTCCAGAAGGGATGCTCAGCCCAGGCCACCAACCACTCCCTGCCCCAGAAGTCCAGCTGTCTTCAGAAGCACAGGCCTGGTCGGCAGGGCGGCTCTGGGACCCACCAGATGCACCTAGGACATCTGCTTGGGGCCTCAGAGGGGCCCCGGGAGGCGTCTTCTCCTCTGACTGCCCCTCCCACACCCCTTGTCCTCAGCCTGCCCTGCACCCAAGCCTCCCCCCCCCTCTCCCGGGATCTTAACAGTCTTGTTCTTGCTCCCTGGCACCCACCCCCAGGCCTGTGACGCCAGGAGGGAGGGCGGCCGTTGCTAGGTGATGGCCGCCTGGCGCACTCGCTGTGCTGGGAAGGACACCCACCCATTCCTCAGCGGGCCTGTTGCCACAGCGACTGAAGCCCTAGCTTTGTCTGTAGAGACTTAAGATGGGGGGGGGGCAGGTTGGACAGGGGGCCAAGGGCAGGCCTGTGTTTCCTCCACACCCCCTCCCCCCAGTCCTAGATGCCCAGTGATGGAGCAGGGGGGCCAGGGTGACCTGAGGTGAAGTCTGGGATCTGGACAGAGCTGGGGATGGAGGGCGGGGGACCGGGCAGGGGGGGACCCCCTCAGCATCCTGTTTGGGGGCCTCTTCCACAAAGGACACCCTCTGCCTCTGTGGCTGGCTGGCCAGCTCAGAGCTGAGGGGGGAGGTGGGGGCTCCAAGGCCCTGCTCCCACCACCGCCCCTGCCTGCCAGTGGGCCAGCTGGACCTTGGGAAAGAGCCACTGTCTCTCCGCCTGGACCGACTGGGGAACAATGTGGCATTTGTTGCTCAGGGGTCCCAGGCTTGGCACACTAGTGGGCAGTAGATGTGAGCTGGGCACTGATATTCTCTGGGCAGACTCTGGAGAGAAGCCCTCAGACCCTGGTGTTGGGTGGGAGGGGGCGACCCACGGAACCCCACAGCTTGAGGGTGGGGGACCTTGCTCTTGGTGGTGACAGTCGCCTCACTTCAGTCAGCTGGACGCAGTCACCGCAAGTCTCGGCCCAGCTTTACCATCTGAGTAGTGGTGATGCCTCCCTCCCTAGGACTTGTCATTCGGTGGGACAGGAACAGGGGAAGCACCCGGGGGACCCTGGCTCCTTCCTTCCCTTCGGGACTTCGGTTCTGCAGAACTAGAGCCGGCCTGGCCTGGGAGGCTAGTCACTCACCTGGGTGTGGAAAGGGACAGTGACATGTGACATGCCCCAAATGCGACCATTCACACAGATGCCAGTCTGTTCCCTGTGGCTCAGCTAGGCATCTGCTGTGTGCAGGCCCTGGGCTAGGATGTCTTACCTCAAACCTCACCCTTCCTGGAGGACAGGGGCAGAGAAATTCAGGACAGCCCCGAAACAGCCCCAGTCCTGCTCCTCAGGCTCCATGCCAGGGCAACGCCTATCACTAGGAAAGGGCAGGGGACAGCCTGACCCCAGCTTCAACCTCCTCACGG